TCTTCTCTTCTCTTCTCTTCTCTTCTCTTCTCTTCTCTTCTCTTCTCTTCTCTTCTCTTCTCTTCTCTTCTCTTCTCTTCTCTTCTCTTCTCTTCTCCCCTCCCGTCCATAGCCACTAAATAAATATCCAACCTCACTCTGCATGGCATGCCTATCCATGTCTTTATCTCTTGCCCACAGCGTGTCTCCCTGCCCTGGACCAGCCACTGCTCGGGGACCTGCAGTCGTCCCTACCTGGGACTGGCTGCTCTCAGGGCCTGCTTGCTGTCTGCCACCACATGGCCTGCTGCCACCTCTTGGGGACCTGCAGCATTTCTGCTGCCTGCTGCCACCAGGGATCCTGCAGCATTTTTAATAATCCATTACAAACCTGAAACTTGTTCTCTATCTCAGGTTGCTCTTGACCTCCTGACCCCCTGCCTCTGCTTATGAGCCCCAGCCACAATGCCTGACTCACAAAATTTTAAATTGATGGTATAAAGTCTGCCAGGCCTACAATATCTTCCTGTTCATCCCCTTCAAATTAGCATAGAAAATCATCTTCTGAATTAAAAACCAATAATGAACCACCAACAAATCGTCAATTGAAAGTGTAAGTGAGGGTGTGCCCCAGAGATGGACACAATTAGATGCTCAATTAATGTCTGTCTACGAACAAAAAGAAGCCCAGGAGTGAGCATCTAATGTAGGGGTCTTGTTTGCCTGTTTCAATGATCTGGCTGTTTACTTCCTCCTTTTCCTTTGTGGGCTATTGTGCCACAAAATGCTCCATTATCAGCTTCAAAATTGAATCCTATGATACTGTAGCCTGAGGAGAAGGAAGCACTGAATGTCATTCCCAGATTTAGACCCCAAAGATACATAGGAAATGCTACTGTACGTATACCACACGCAGCATTAGCGCTTTCAATTTCCTTTTACGGGTGCAGTGGAGATTAATTTGCATGAGCTTGTTTCAATCTCTGTAATAATATCTAAATTTTGCTCTGAGTTTTTCCATCTCAAAAACAAACAGTTAAGAAGGACACATCTCTTCTTTCAAATGCTTTTTATTGTAGTTCTAGTCTACAGCCCCCACATCAAATCTTCAACTAAAAGCTTGAGTAGTTGTGCCCATAGGTTCTAATCTGTTTTTGTTTGTTTTCCAATTACTCCCTGATTCTGCCAAGAAACTTCCTAAATTTCAAAGGCTGCACACCCCAACGGAACACTAGAACTATGTTCTAGTTCTAAAACTGGAACTAGAATGTTCCAGAATCCCGGAAAGAGACTTACTGTATTTAATACAGAGCCAGAATTGACCTCTGCCACGCGAATATAGGTGCTATGAATTGACCCCGGGATCTCTGGAAGAGCAGTCAGTGCTCTTAACTGCTGAGTCATCTCTCCAACTCTGCCTGTTGTTGTTTTTAAGACAGGGTCTCTCACTGAAGCTGGAGCTTGTCAATTTGGCTACACTGACTGACCAACAAGGTTTAGGGAACCCCCTGTCTCTGCCTGTCCGGCTCGAGGATTATAGGCACCCACCACCACTTTCCTCTCTTTATATGAGTACTAGGGATCAAATTTGGGTCCTTACAGCAAGAGAGCTAATTCAGGTACCAGTACCACATTTCAGAGTAGAAGGCTACACCAATGTTTTGAGATAAGGTTTCACTTTGTAGCCCTAGCTGACCTGGAACTTTCTGCATAGACCAGGCTGCCCTTGAATTCACAAATATCTGCCAGCCTCTGCCTCCCAGGTGCTAGGGTTACCAG